GGCATAATAAAGGTCGTAGATAGTGAGTGTTGGCTCAGCATAAATAGTTATATAATATGCTTTGATACCCTAACAGAATGAGGACCTAACTTTTTTAACCTTTTATATTATTTAGTTAACCAACCCTGTAACCCGTTGAGTCACGTCTCTACCATCTTTCTTCCATAAAATTTCATACTTTCTGGTAACATGGTAACATGAAATATTCCCGAGATAGATGAGCCGAGAAGAATGACCCAAAATAGAATATTTCACGTTATAATGTTTAAATGCTTCGACTAGATTAGAAATGCTTTGTCTGCATTTTATTTATCTCAACAAAACTAATACTACTACTACTACCACTGACATATAAGACTAACTAGATACTAGCACACCTCCATTTGCATTTTCTTCCATATGGTATTCATGCGTGATCGCCCCTCGCGCAAATGCTTAAGCAATGAATCGGCCGTTATATCTGGCGTAGATTTGGACGCGGATTGCGCCTTGCACAGTGTCGCATGGCGCTCGAAACGCCAAAATGTTTTAAAAACTTTATTGCAATATTTGCATATGCGTTCCTCTTCCGGTTCGTTGTTACGACGATCAGGCTCAGAACTTTCACGATGGTTTACTGAACGTTGCGGAATCGTCCATTTGGGCTCCGGCTTGATAAGCAATTGGGTTTTGTTCTTGCGCTGAAGCTCCTCCTGATGATTGTAACGTATATGATTGTACATCTTTGACATGCTAGTCTTGGTCCGGTCGCATAAAGTGCACTTCAAATACGAGCGAAAGGGCAAATGCTTAAAGCAATGCTTCTGCAGCTCAGTGCGTTTGGTGGTATGCTGCACCTCATTGCATTGCAGGCAAATGCTTTGTCGATCCTTGATCTTGAAGCTATTCTCAATATAATGCTCGAAGTTATGCTTCTTAAATACATGACTACGCCAGTCATCCATCGATTCAATTTCCTTACCGCACGTGGGACACAAGTACGAAATGAGTTTCGCCAGGCCGCTGATGCTGACATCTGCATCGCCATCCCGTTCGGGTGTTGTTGTTAAACGCCGACGTTTGGGCGACGGTGTTATTTCTGTATCTGTTTTTGGTTCTGTCTTCATTTTCTTCTTTAATTTATCCACTTCATCCTTGCCCAGTGCATCGATTTCAATAATCACAACTTCCTTATTTTGCTGGGGACGTGCTTCAGCCGGCTTTGCTGCTTTATCAGTTTCCTCAAGGCGCTCCTCAAAGAACTCTTGGCACAGTGCATCCAAATCAGCTTCGTTTTGCACATCCTGCGACTGTTTTTGCTCCATTTCCTTACGCACGATGTCCTCGTAGGCATTTAAGCTGCGATCTAGCGCCTGTTCGCTAGCATTGGGCTTAGCCTTCACTGAAGGATTAGTTGATGGCGTTGCTACATCCTGATCTTCCGTCTGCAGATCAATGTCCATTAATGCCTTTTGCAACAGATCATTGCGCCGGCGCGGCTGTCTTGCACCTTTACCTTTTGGTGCTTTTTTTTCTTCCTGGCTACGTTTCACTTGCTTCAACTTGGCCTCATACTTTTCAATCTCTTTTATATGCGTGGATAACAGATGTTCATTTAATGCTCGTCGCCGTGTATACGCCAGGCGACAATGTACACACCGGTAAGTTTCGCGATGGTCCAGATGCATAAAGTAATGGTATTGTAGGAGGGCAATTGTTTTGTGGGCATTCTCCACCCACTTTAAGCAAAGTTGGCACTCGTGGAAATTCTCATCGATTTGAATAAAATTGAAATCCGAATAAGTCTTTTTGAGGTAGTCGTGCTTCTGCATTAGAATTACCAAATAAGAAAATAAGGAAGATAAACTATTGCTTTACACATTCATACCGTATTTAAGTGCTGTCGCCACTCGGCTTGTGTGCGAAACGCCTTGCCGCATTCAGGGCATATATAGACCATATGTGCTTCCAGGCGAGCATTAAGTTTGCTTTGCTCATCGGTCAGCACGCTGTTTCGTGACATTTTAAGTATAAATGCAGGTCAAAAGAACCAAAAATCCAAATTTATTGAATTAAAAACACAACATTGGCAGAATGCGGCTAGAGATGAGAGCATGTATGAAACCGTAAAATATCGATTTATCGATGAGTGCTCGCAACATGGTCGCCTTAATCACCTATCAAATTATTGAATATTTCTTAATCAACCGTTTATGTAATAAGCAATATTGCAGTAAACATTGTTATTTGTTTAGTTTGATTGACTCATAAGTATAGATAAATTAAAATATTCTCTTAAACTTTCTAAATACTAATTGTCTAAAAATGGTCACCTATATTTTTAAAACGTGAACTAAAATTTTATAATCGAAAATGTTTTATAATCGATACATAAATACAAAATAATCGGCCGGTCAGTAACTTCGTTCATAGAAAGGAATTAGGAAAATAAATTTATATTCATTTCACAATTCGAGCATGTCGATTGCAGCAAAATCGACAGTAAGTAAAGTACCGATTACATTTGACAACTTTTAATGATGAATCCAATGCCATACGAATTCCAGACTAGCAGTAGTGGTGGAGGTACCACGTCCGCAGCTGCAGTGGCGTCCAGTTCGACCTCGTCGAGTGGCAATGTTCAGGAGTTTAAGATTCGCGTGCCTAAGATGCGCAAGAAACACCATGTCATGCGTTTTAATGCCACGCTCAATGTTGATTTCGCGCAGTGGCGCAACGTCAAGCTGGAGCGGGAGAACAATATGAAAGAATTTCGGGGTATCGACGAGGAACAACCTAAATTTGGCGCTGGCTCGGAGTACAATCGTGACCAGCGAGAAGAAGCGCGTCGTAAAAAATTTGGCATCATAGCACGCAAATATAGACCAGAGGCTCAACCCTGGATTCTAAAAGTGGGTGGCAAAATGGGAAAAAAATTCAAGGGCATACGAGAAGGTGGAGTGGGCGAAAATGCCGCTTTCTACGTATTCACGCACGCCCCAGACGGTGCTATCGAAGCCTATCCCTTGAATGAGTGGTACAACTTTCAGCCCATACAGCGCTACAAGTCACTGTCGGCGGAGGAGGCCGAACAGGAGTTTGGACGTCGCAAAAAGGTCATGAATTATTTTTCTCTTATGTTGCGCAAGCGCTTGCGCGGCGACGAGGAGGAAGAACAAGATCCTGAGGAGGTCAAATTGCTAAAGGCCGCCACTAAAAAGTCTAAGGAACTTAAAATTACCGATATGGATGAGTGGATTGATTCTGAGGATGAGTCCGACTCTGAAGATGAGGAGGAAAAGAAGAAGAAGGAGCAGGAGGACAGCGATGATGGCGCCGCGAAGAAAGGAAAGGGAAAAAAGGGCATGGATAAAAAGAAGAAGAAACGTGATGTGGACGATGAAGCTTTTGAGGAGTCTGATGACGGCGACGAGGAGGGACGCGAAATGGACTACGATACCAGCTCTAGTGAAGAGTATGTTAAAATCCGTAATTTTCCTGTACCATTATTAATCTAATTATTAATCCATTTACAGTGAACCAGATCCAGAGTCTAAGATGGTGAAGGACATGAAAGGCGTGGCTGAAGAGGATGCACTGCGCAAGTTGCTCACTTCTGATGAAGAAGAGGATGAAGAAAAGAAATCAGATGAATCAGATAAGGAGGAAGGCGAAGAGAAAAAGAAAAAGGAGAAAAACAAAGAAGAAACCGCCAAGGATAAGAAGAAAAAGAAACAATCAAAAGACGACAAGAAATCAAAGACAAATGGTAGTGATTCATCAACGGATCTCAGTTCAGATAGCACAGATACCGAAGATGACCTTAGCAATGGACCGTCTAAAAAGAAGTCTGCAACCAATAAAGATAAAGACAAGGAGAAGGACACTGCCAACAAGGTCATCCCCAGTGGCAGCAATGCAAATAAATCACGCTCCGCCACGCCCACTCTCACGAATGACGCCAACAAACGCAAAATGAACAGCTTGCCCAGCGATCTCACCGGATCTGACACCAGCAACAGTCCTAGCAGCACGCCCGCTAAACGACCCAAGAGCGAACTGAGCAACTCATTGCCATCATCATTCGCAGGCGTAGTCAGCAACAAAGTGGAGTGAGTATATAATTGCAGTGTTTGTCATTTAATTGCTCATATTTGATTTGTTTGCACAGAGACTATGGTATCACCGAGGAAGCAGTGCGTCGATATCTTAAGCGAAAGCCCTTGACAGCTACAGAGCTGCTGACTAAATTCAAAAACAAAAAGACAGGCGTTTCTAGCGATCGCTTGGTCGAGACCATGACCAAGATTCTAAAGAAGATCAATCCTGTGAAGCATACCATACAGGGGAAAATGTATTTATGGATTAAATAATTATGTCGCCACACTATTATCTGCATGCATTGTATGTTTTAATTGCCAGTGCATGTTCGACAACTGGTTTATTAAAAATTGAGAATTTTTGTAACTGAAATTGTTCATTTTTACAAAAATGTGTCGCGTAAACTGATTTATATTTACGTCTCGTATATTTGCCAACAAACTGGCACGGGTCGTTCAAATTCTAATTTTGGCGCCATCTTATAGGGTCAGAAATAGTGTTAGATACGGTCTCGGAAACTTATCGATATATTTTGCTATGGCAATGAAAAAAATACTTTTTATCCTTATGTAACAATACAAAGTGGTCTTTTTCAGAAAAAAAAACAATCAACTTTCTACAAAAAAAAAACATATGATATATAATGTATTTTAATCACATATTTTTACGCTCAATGAATGAGGAATATCTTAGGTAATCCGGTAAAATTAAAAAATTTAACAATCCTGAATTACTTTTAGCTTGAAAATATATTTAAAAAAAAATATAACAATGTCGACCTTCGCAAGAAAACATACTTTCTATATATTTTTTGTTAATAGTATAATAATGTAGTTCATCACGTTTGTATACGGAAAAAAGGAAGAGCCCTATAGGAAAATATAAACGATCCATCGATTGGTTTTCGCAAGAAATCATCGATATGACAATGGTCACACTGGACAGTCCGAGCCCTGCGCTGAGTTCTAGACCACAAAACATCTTAAATAAGCAAAGTTAAGATCCTGTAAAATGTGTAATCAGCAAAATTACAATAATTCCCGACCCATTTGCTGAGTCTCACAAGTGGCGGTGCGTGTATTGTGCCATTAAATCATAATTAACTGCAACGCAATTGCAATGGCGACGAGTACGAACAAAAACGAATGAGAATGAGCGAGTGTTAAAAAGAAGAAAAAACAGTGCAGCAAACACCAAAAAGTTGCCTTTGGCGAATTAAATAGAAAAATACAATAATAAACAATAAGAAACAAGTGAGTAGTAGCATTGCGTGTTATATCGATTGTTATGCTTCAGCACCAGCTGCTTTCTTAAGTAAATTATTTTGCATACCAGTGCAAACACACACACACACACACAGACACGCACACAAACAACAGACTGAAGGCATAACAAAAGCAAACGCAGTTGTAAATCAAGCTTTTTTTCAATCATTTTAAATATTAATTGATTTGCCGTGCGCTGTCCTGTGGATTTCACCTGTTGGAGCAAGTCCATTTGCTGCGTCTTTCTCTTTATTTACTGTAGTAAAAACCTTGACGGTAAAGTTGTGCGTGCGTAAAGTTCAAGGCGTAGTGTTTGTGTATAAACTGGTGGTGGGTGGGTGGTGCTGCGGATACCTTCGTGCGTGGTGTATGTTTGTGTGTGTGTGTGTGTAATTATTGTTTGCATATTCAAGCAGATTAACAGTCGATTGAAACATGTGATATATGTTAATAATTAGCAAAAGAATAACTTATTTTGTATTTTGTGGCAACGATCGTTGAAGTAGCGATAAAAGAATCGCATCAGGGTAAGCCTTATACATATCACAAAATATTTATCACAAGGCACACGCTGCTCCAGCCAATGATTTAAAAGTAACCCACAATTGCGTACACACATATGTCAGATGGCTTTGTGTTTGTTTATTTGTTTATGTACAGATTATATTTCTCTATTTGCGCATACAATAAAAACAAAGTCACGTTCTCATTAATGTCACAGTTGTATTGGCTCGTATGGGCACGATGTGTTAATTACATGTGACGTTCTTTATTTAATTATGCATTTAATACAAAAATTAGTGACATTTTTGCCCCTGCCGCATGTATACCAAATGTATTATCAGCTCACACTATAATTCACATAAATTCTCCACGTTTGTTTCGCAGGTTCAACTAAATCGGCAAAAATGCAATTCTACTTTCAAAGTTCTTTCCGAATGTTATCGTCTGGCCAGCGATGATTCATTGTGTTTCATTCTACCGGCTGGCCAGATAGCTTTTCACTTAAGTTTGTTTTAACTTCTGTAGCAGCTGCTGTTATTTGCAAAGCAATTGATTATGCAGATATCATTGCAAAATATTGCAAGATTTCAATTGATGTAAATTAAGCTCAATCATAACAACAATCTGGAACGAGGCGGCACTTTGTTATGGTCCTAATTGTTACATAAGAATCTGCTCCGCGTAAATATGCAATTTTATAACAATCGGTAAAAGTGCCATCACTAGGGACTTTTGTCAACAAAAATCGAACAGCTGATTGCCTGACCGAAGGAAGCAAGCATAGAAAATGAAAACAAAATGATGATACGCACACACTCATGCACCCATACACACACACACACACACACACACACACACACACACACACACACACACACACACACACAAAATATATATATGTATATAATATACGTATGCATTAAAGAACGTTTATCTTATCAGCGGGCAATGGCGGTGCTCTGGCCGACGCCATTTGTTTGCATTGCGCTGAGCTTGTCTTTCATGGATTTTCATTTATGCACTTGTTTTGCAGGCCACCAAAAAAACAAACGCCCAGGCACACATACGCACAGATGAGACATGCGAATAGTGCAAATGATAACAATCATAAGCAGCAGCAGCAGACGCAGCAACATCAACAAAATAAAGCAATAGCAGCAAAACAACAGTTTAACAACTGCGCGCAACAGCAGCTTTTCTAGCTTGAGGTTGATTAGTACTAAACAGCACCAGCAGCAGACGGTTAACACCATCATGGCTTGGAAGCATTGTCTCATACTGAAACTGGCAATACTTGGTCTCTGCTTGATATGCCATCAAGCCGTCGTCGATGCTCATGTGCTCGTTTACAGGCGCACCACCACACAGGTACATAAGTAAATCCAGCTTCTCTGTCTAATCTCTAATAAAATTCAATATACTTGTACACAGCTAATTGAGGAATTTAACGATTTGCCCGCCACATTTGGACCTCTCATCGTGGGCAATAATCTTCGTGTGTTTGTGGTGCCACATGAGACCAATAATGCGTATGGTTGTGATAATCTAAAACCACCACCTCGCACCGGCTATCCAATTGGCGCCAAATTCGTAGCGATTGTGTCGCGGTAAGCAGAATTACACTTGTTGAAAGCTATACCAAAATGTGAAGATATATTTTTCTGCTTACACAGCGGTGGCGATTGCACATTCGAGCGCAAAGTGCGCGTGGCTCAGAATGCAACCTATTACGCTGTGATCATCTACAACAATGAAGGCGATGAACTAGGTATGACAAGCTGCTTTACAGACTTTAAGTCGGACTATTAACATGTATGTGTGTTAAAATGTGCTTAAATTAGCTAACGGGCTCTGATAAGCCATGCCAGGAGACAGACACGATTGTCACCCGTCTACACTCATTCCGTAGTTCTATAGCTCAAAACGAGTAACTTAAGCAAAAATTCGTTATCTTATTTCAGAACAAATGACCGCCAACAATGCATCAGGGATACACATAGCCTCCGTTTTTGTGGGTCTTACGACCGGCAAGACATTGTTATCTTTCTTTACACCAGAGGTGGTGCTAATCATAAACGACGAGCTGCCCTTCAATATCAACACACAGCTGATATTGCCATTTTCCATACTGATTGCATTATGTTTTCTTATTATGGTATATCGTATGCTTAACTTAAATTGAGTTTTTGCTTAACTTAATCTGCTTGTTTTTTTTGTCTAGATCGTCTACATGATATACAAATGCATACGGGAACAGCGACGACTGCGTCGTTATCGATTGCCGAAAAGCATGCTCAAAAAGATTCCAGTGCTGCGCTATACAAAAAACAATACCACCATCAAGTATGAGACATGCGTAATCTGTCTTGAGGACTTTGTTGAGGACGACAAGCTCCGGGTGCTGCCATGTTCGCATCGTAAGTAAATGGAGCTAACTTAATAATATTTGATTTGAAAACGCGTAATTTTTGCATTCTAGCTTATCACAGCCACTGCATCGATCCCTGGCTAACTGAAAATCGACGCGTCTGCCCCATATGCAAGCGGAAGGTTTTTACGAAAGGCGAAGCACGTGCGAGTCGGAATCGACAGCCTTCTTTAGATAGCGTCACTGACACAGATGATGATACCACGCCGCTGTTGCAACAGCAGCCCCAAGCGACAACTGCAGCTGCTGAGGCAAGTGGCAGCAACAGCGCCAGCATCAATTCTGCATCATCAGCAACCGGTACCACTAGACATGGCACATTTCGACGTGGGGATGCAGCGCATACTCCCACCGCAGCGCAGGAATATCACAGCTCTGATGACGAAAATGGTGCGTGTTAAGTATTTCTAGTGAGCCCCCTTAAGCTCTGAATGAATAGATTAGTTTGTGTTAAAATGTTAAAATTACATTTTATTATATGTTCCTTTTATATACCCAACACAGCGCTTTTGGATTCCGCTATACCCCAGGCTAATACATCGGCATCTGTACAACGACGTGTCAATCCCTTTGATCGGTCACCAAATTTACCGGCTCATTTGGTGGATCAGCTAAGCCCTCCAAGGCGCTCACTTTGGTCGCGGTTAAACTTCAGGTAAGTTTAGCAGATTATCATACCATTTTGTGCCACATATTTTACACTTGTTTTTGTTTTATTTTAATCGCAGCTTCCTATTTCGTGATGAGCCCAGAAGCATCAGCGTGGCAGCACCGCCATATCTCGATCATCTTGAGTCTGGCACAAGTGATGTTGTGATCCGCGGTACTGTGGCGACCGCCGCGACTGATGCTATGTCCACGCCCACATCGAACAACATACTAAATCCGAATTTAAGCGGCTCCTTCAAGGATGACGATATGCCACCGCATCGTTCCATTTATGAACCGATTGCAATTAGTACCCCCGCCACAGAGCAAGAAACGCCATCAGGTGCAGCCGCAGTGGCTGATTCGGTGTTTCTACAGACGCCCACACAGGGCGGCATAGGAGTTGCCGCGCTACCACATAGCGCCGCAGATCGCCAGTTTCTAATATGAGGTAGACGCGAATAAGAGAGTTTAGTTTTCTAAGGCATAGTTCACACCAAGCAGGCAAAAGTAGTAAAGTGTAGGTCGCTTGGACGCGGCGAAGCTGTGGCTGCCAGCTGCTTTGTTTTAAACAATTAACAAATGTTTACCCTTAATATAAATATGTAATTGTAATTGTATTTGTAATCATCATCGTCATGCCGCGTCGATCATGCATGATTATGATTTGCACCCAAAAACATATTACATTCATACATACTACATACAAACATAAATATGCGTATGCAAATTGTGATTTATTTTATATACCTTATATATTATTAACATTATTGGCTTGCGTAACTAAAGTCGAACCACACACAAAACAAAAATGTAAAATGTTTACCTGATTCGGATACAATATTCGATTTTTTTTTGTTTTTTATCCACTCAACACTCCGAAAGAATATTAAACTTTCATACAAATAAGTCAAAAAGGAAAATTAATCAAACATGTGTAATTATACCAATTGATTGAACACTAGTTTTAATATGCATGTAAAATTTGTTTTCAAGTCAGAAACTCAAAGTTATGATCCACCACATGTAATCCATTTATTATATTTTGTATGATTGTTACTCTATAATTATGCTCGATTTAACTAATTTTAAGTTTTGCTGTGTAATATATTTAAATTCTCCAATTCGATTTTTTAATGTAAAAGGCAATACGAATAATGAAACAAAAAAAAACGTTAAAATTTTGTAGGGATGACGGTTTTCAAAATGCATTATCAAAAATAAAAGTGCTAGCTTGTGATTATTTTCTCAAAGATAATTAAATAAAAAAGAAGCAACTGCAACTGATGAAAACTGATCACAACTATAAATATAAATATTGTAAGACGAAATCAATTAAACCTAAAGACATAATAAATTGTGTGTTTCAAAGTGTAATCTAAAATTAATTTACAATAAATTAAACGTAATTGAAATAAACTAAGCCACTTAAATGGCATCTGCTTTGGCTTATTTCCCGTATAACTTTGTATATAAGCGCCAAAACGCCAGGGAAGCATAATGAGAGAGGGTCTGTTAAGCGATTAGAATCATGCTTAGCAGTTGGTGCTATCAGGCGAAGCGTCTAATTTATAAAGTTGCTATAATTTAAATAATATGGATGTATCAATAAATATAATCCGTTTTTGATGTAAGGGCTCCGACAACGTCTGAGCATCGAGATTTTGGTGTTGAATAGCAGATGAGTATACGGATGTGGTGTTGTCTTACCAAATTCAATTTATCACCGAGATAAGTTGATATTTTATAATTAAATTAGTTAGTTAAAAATAATGGCTTCGAGTTCTATTGAATGCGCCGCCTAAAAGTATGCTGCGATTCGTTGAGTGCGGACAGAAGCTGAATGCTACAGAATTTTTTATTGAATTATTTAAAAAATTCTCTTAACATTGTTAAATATTATTAAAAATGCTCTAGTCTAGGGTCCACACTCATAGAAGAGGTATTTGAATATATTATTATTTATTTAATTATATTATTTTTACCTTTAATGGTAGTCAAAGTAAATTTTTTACTGTCGCCGACAGCAAATTACAACAGCTGTTAAAAAACCAAGTTCACTTGCATCTTATTTTCTAGATACGTGCGTACTCTCTTGCATTATAATTTAAATAGGCTTTTGATAATATTGGTTGAATTGTATAGGCCACGTTAATTATTGCTCCAAACATGGCGAGCAGGGTTGAAGTTGTAAAATAAGAAACAAGAAAAATAAAATAATCTTTTGTACAAATACAAACTTTTTTAATGTATACGATAACTATATGTATATGTTATTTAAATATATTTATTAATTTATAGTATTGAGTAATGCACAGAAACTTGTCAGCAATGCAGCAGTTATTGGACTAAACTTTTAGCAGAGTTTGTTTTAATCGAATTTCGCTAAGTGTATACATTTATGTATATGTATTTATATGTATATGTGTGTGTGAGTGTGCAGATGTGTGCGAGTTTTCCATTTTGTTTGTACAATGTATATAGTACGTATATGTGTATATGAGTCGTTCATGTGATGCGCGTTTTGTATGGTAACTAATTTAACTTTAAACTATTACGTTTTGTGTATTTATAAGCTATATACAAAGTATGCACGTTTTCAACTTAATACTATTAACATTAAGACGCTACTAATCGAACAGAGAGTCGTTTCACTTGACCACCAGCGACTGTTTGAGATGCCGCACAAGGCCACCGCCTATATCCTGAACATCCGGCCATTGGCGTATCACAAAGATTATAAAGCAAATCGTTAGAAATGTGGTCAACACGCGAACCCTGCAAATACAAGACAGTTGATGAGTATATATGTATCTAACATAAGTCCGTATAGCGTGTACTTACCTCGTTTTGAGAAAGGGCATTATAATGCCAGCAGCGGTGGCTACCAACAGGAGCACCACTTGCAATATCGTTAATACCACATTGATGAGTTTCACAACCAGGGCGCGAGCATTCGAATTATCAATGCCCTCGACGGTTACATATTGCTGCTGCGACATATGCTCCATTTTCGATATCTGTTTGGTATGGGGTGCGTTTTAGTATTTAACATTTGTAATGGAATGCCTGTTTGTCTGTCTGGACTTACCCTTGTTTGACAATTCTCGAGCACTTCGTTGACGTCACGTAGTCTTTCATCGCTTTGGTATTGTACTTTTTCCTCCATGTCAGCAATTGTTTGCTTCAGATTCTCAATTTCATTCTGCAACAGAGACACGCACATAAATTAGTACAAATATTGCACTTGATGTTGATGGAACGAACCTGATGCAATTCCGTCAAGTCATTGATTTGCTCCTCCAATCCCTCGGCGCGAAAGCGTTCGCTCTCGAGAGTGGCGGTTAAGCTGTTGAACTCCTTTTGGCTTGTCTAAAATGTAATGAAATGTTAAAATTAATTGATTCATTAAAATAATAAAATATTTATTAAATTCTAATTTTAAATCTCCAAACACAAAGCATATTCCTCTGAGAAAAACATTAAAGTAGTCAATTCGTTTTCAACCCACCTCGAGGCGCTCGATACGCTCCTTAAGCTTCTCGTTCTCAGCCTTGCGCTCGGCCAGTTCAGTCAATAGGGACTTGAGCACAATGTGATATTGGCTGGCGCCCGACTGACTCTTGCCAGATCTGTGGAATCAGAAATGAGTTCAATTATCATCCAACCAGCAACTTTTGGTTAATATCCCCTGCCCCGCTGGTATGCTTTCGCTTGTATGCTTTTGCTTACCCCGCTGGTATGCTTTCGCTGGTGACGCTGCTGCACTCACTGCCGTTGTCGCTGTTGAATTTGCCGGTGCCGCTGCCAGTGCCCGTGTTGTTGTTGTTCATGTTGTTGCCACCGCCAGAGCCCGTTGAGGTGCCAACGCCGGGCTGCTGCAGCAATCGCTCACCGCCCGCTGACAGGCCGTCGGGATTGGCCGACTGAATGGCTTGAAGCTCGCCATCGCCAATCTGATTGATGTTGTCCGCACTGCCAAATTTGTTCTTAATGAGATGCGCAAATTCGCGCGGCTTGGACATCACCGAGCCGGAGAAGCCAGTAATGCCGTCGCGTATATTGCCGCCCACATTGCGCAGCCCCTGGCCGACATCGCGCAGCACCTCGCGCGGCTGTCTGTGCTGGCTCTTTGCCTGATATTGATGATTCTGCAGATCCTTGGCGCGTTTCGTATAGTTGTCCAGTTTCTTTTGCAGCTGTGATATGCTGTGTGCGCTCTTCTGATTCTTCTTCTCGAACACCGCCTGCACATGAGCAACATATATTTTAATTAATAACCAATTGGTTTGCATTTGCTATTTTAGCTCTTACCTTGATGCGCTGCAGTTGCTGTTTGTCGGCGCTGGCTGCGAGCTTCAGATACTCGTTCACATTATCTACAAGAAGAATAATAAATGTTAAAAAAAGGGCATTTTTTTCTCTTTCCCTCGGAGATAATAAAAATTGAGTTGATTTTTTTAAAAATGTTATTACATCAACTTTTAAATTAGTTCACGCGTCAATGTAACAAGCGGATAAGCCTAACTTATTCCATACTTTATTGGTTATTTAGATGGATATAGATTTCATCAAAAAATCACGTTTTTTTTAACTTTTTGGAGAAAGTGAAGAGAGTATATTGGTTTTGTCAGGATGCTCGTAATAGCAAGCTTTGCAGTATATACTTGTGTATATCCGTGTCAGATAAACTGATAATATTAAACAAATTTTTGGAGCCAGAGTGACAACGGACTACTGAAAGCTTCTCTGGAAATCGATCGAAAACCTTGCCATTGCAAATCGGAAGATTTATATATATTTAACTAAACTATTCCTCATTACTTTGCATGATATTGCCTACTGTCTACAATAACTGTTCGGAGCAATCGTTTGTTGACGACTTTCACTAAATCGAATGCCAAAGCTCGCAAAAGTATGCTATGGAAAAAGAGAATTCTCGGACACATGCTAACGAATCGATGGAAAACAAGTGCTATTCGCTGTACTCACCATCCCGGGCCGTTTGCTCCTGTCTGATGGACTCCTTGGTGCACTGTATCTTCGTGTTGAGACGATCGATGGCCTGCACACTGGAGCTGCGTTCGTGAGTGCGCCGATGATGCAGCTTCTTGCTGCCATCGAATTCATCGGAGACAACCGATACGTAGTAGTCCTCGTTGCCGGACAAACGTGAATCCTCGAGTCCGCTGCCAGTGCCGGCGCTGCCGCCGCCGCCGCCACCGCCAAAGTCGGCCATATCGCCTCCAATGCCTACACCGACAATCCCGCTATAGGCAAGCAGGCCGCCCTGATCGGAGCCATGTGTGCGTCGTTGGCGTTCACGACTGCGTCGCCGGTGCGTGGGGCTGTGGCTGCGAAAACCTCGCACTGCCACGCCCCCGCTGCTACTCAGGCTGCCGGTCACCGTGTTGCCGCCGCTATAGACAGCCGCCTGTGCAGCTGCCACTGTGGCGGACGAGGCCGACGAATTGCTGTTGGCTGTCGTTGAACTGGCCGCCGTACCCGACGCTCCTCCTCCACCTCCTCCAGCTGCTGCTGCTGCTGCTGCTGCCGCCGTCGTTGCCGTCGGCGTCGTTGCAGTTGCCGTTCCAGCCGCTTGAATGGCTGCCAACGTCGCTGCTGTTCCGGTCGCGGATGCTGTCGCTGAGTCGCCGGTGCGCTCCCTGGACACTGCCGAGTTGTGGCGCATAGAAAGTATTTATGGTACGTATATATGTAGTTTATGGCTGTGCCTCGGCTCAAACTTCAAATAGTCAGATGGATGAGGGCGAGGCGAATCACAGGTGCAGTCGCAGCAAACGATAACAACAAACACAATGATAAAGCAATAACACAAAGCAACTCTCGAAATACCACAAAGAAAAAAATTCAATTAGCTGCTGTTCTTGTTGTTTTTGTTGTTGTTGTTGTTGTTGCGGCTGCGTTTGTAAGCAAGAGTGTACATGTGTGTGTGTTAATGACAGCTGTGCGTCAAAAGAGACAGTGAGAGAAAGAGATAGAGACAGACAGTGAGAAAGCAGCAGCAGCAGCAAATGTTAGCGATTAAAAAGCGTTTAAAATCGCGTCTGCATTGCTGTGGAAAGAAAATCGTTGAAATTGCACGAAATGTGTGAAAATGGGTATTTGTGTATGTACAGTTATGCGTGAAAAACAATTCTACTATATGGCAAAAGTACAAATTAACATATATTTTTCCAAAGAAGGAAATATCTTGAATTTGTTATCAATGCACAAATTTGATATATAAAAGGCAATTTAGTTTACTTTCCACTTATAAATCCATATATGCTATATTTATAAGAATGTAATTAATAAACAAAAATGAGCTCCAACTTTTCTGTTAGTGTGCCAAGGTTCGTATTATTTTTCACATA